AAAAATTTCATCAGATTTGACATCGAAATAATTAACAGATTGAAAACTTTCTCTTGATTCAGTTGGTAGTGGTACATGTCCGTTGTTAGTTGGTTGAGCGATTTCTCTGGTTAATTCGGCTGCATTCGATTTTCAACAAACACGCAGAGGGGTCCTACAAGTCTTTTTGAAGACATGTACAAGGAATACATTGTAAATGTAACCAACCGAAAAAACTTTTTTTGATGATAATGCATCCTATAATCAAATCAGATCAAATAAACATGGAAGAGATATTTTGCTACAACTAAGTCGAATCAATCATCGGTCCATATGGTTTAGGAACCAGGAATGAACGAGGCACACGCGTTGGTATATTTTGCCAAGAGAACAGCCTGGTGGTTCTTAAAACATGGTTTAAATTACCTAAAAGACGTCTAGATACGTGGAGGTCTCCTCAAGATTGCGAAGAAAATATTGTGAGGAACCAAATCGACTACATTACAATTAATAAAAGGTTTCGTAATGGTATTCTAAATGTAAAAACGTACCCAAGCTGTGACATAAATTCAGACCAAAATCCTGTAGTCGAAACTATCTGATTAAAACTTAAAAGAGTAGGCAAGGCTAAACCTAGTCCGAGAATAGCATGGAGTAGTGCTGACCAAGGAAAACAACAGAAGTATGAAGACATGGTAGACACGCAGTTAGAGTCTAAGACAATAGCTTCCACTAAGGAGAAGATAATAAAAGAAAACATTGAAGAAATGTGGGGAAAAATTAAAAATACTGTCTTGGAGGCAGCAGACCGAAGTATACAGAAAGAAAACCATAAACATAGAAAACCATGGATGACAAACGAAATATTACAAATTATTAAGAGGAGACGGATGGTAAAAAAAACCAACAAGATACAAAAAACTAACAAGATACAGAAAAATTGAGAAAAAAATAAATGTAGCTAAGGAAAAGTGGGTGAAAGAAAAATAGAAAGAGGTAGAAGATTTGCAAATGAAGCATAAAGACGGAGAACTACACAGAAAGGTTAAAGAAGTAGCTGGAATATGAAAACTGAAACACATCGATTTTAACAAGAAATATCTTAAAGATTCATTTGGTGATCAGAGAACAGAAGAGCCCCTACAAATAATACAGATTGAAAATTAAACATTCTCACCGAGGAAGTTTTGCAGGCAATAAAAAACGCAAAGAACAACAAGGCACCCGGCGAAGACCTAATACCAGCCGAACATTTTAAACACCTAAATGATAATGCTGTCAGGAAATTAACATACATTCTGCAATATTATATATGAACATGACATAATACCGCATGACTGGCTAATATCCACATATATAGCTCTTCCTAAAAAACAAAAAGCAAGAAAATGTGAAGACCAACGCACTGTATCCCTAATAAGTCATGCCGCTAAAATTTTTATGGAAATAATTTATAACCGGATTCACAATAAGTGCGAAGAATAACTGAGTCGTTCTTAATATGGTTTTAGAAAGAGTAAATGCACTAGAGAAGCAATTATGGGATAGACACTGATGACAGAAAGTTATCTTGAGGTATCAAAAACGGCTGTATGTGTGCGTTGTCGATTATAGAAAAGCCTTCGACCGCATCAAACACGGAAAATTGATTGTGCTGTTAAAAGAAGTAGGGTTGGACGGACACGACATAGCTATCATAAGTAATACATACTGGAACCACACAGGATGCATTTGAACAGAGAACGGAAACACCAAGTACATCAACATATAACGAGGACGGCGTCAAGGGTACATTTTGTCCCACCTATTATTTAATGTTTATGTCAAGTATAAAATTAGAGCTTTTCTAAAGATCGCCCTGAAGGTGCCGGAGTCAATGGAATCATCATTAATAATATAAGATATACCGATGACACCGTAGTATTAGCAGAAACAGAAGACCAACTAAAAATATTGATGAACATATTATCAGAAGAAAATCACAGGCTCCGCTTGGACATTAACTTTTCCAAAACCAAAATTCTGGTATTCCACAAAAATCCCCATGAACAAGTTACACCTAACACACAACTAAATGGTATCATCCTTTAGAGTTCCGAAAGCTTCATATACCTGGGTAGAGGGCCAAATAATCAACTAGACCACTCAAAAGAAATTAGAATATGCATTGAAATATCAAGATCTGGTTTTCATGAATATGCGTAAAATGCTCTGTAATCCCAAGCTATCAGTCTCAATAAGATTGCGAACACTAAAATGTTATGTGTGGTCTCGATTACAATATTGCTGTGAGACTTGGGCATTAAAACAGTATGACGTCAACAAATTAAATTCATTTGAAATGTGGATGTACCGCCGAATGTTAAGAATAAGCTAAACCAGCAGAACTACGAATGAAGAAGTACTGAGAGTAATCAACACACGCCCTCATCTGGTCAATACTATTAAAATTAGAAAGACGTCATATCTACAACACATAATGCGCCATATGGTATTGAAGCAGCTCCAGGTACTATTAGAAGGCAAGATTGAAGGTAAAAAAAACGAAAGAAAAAATCTTGGCTACGAAACATCAGAGATTGTACCCACACAAGAGATAATAAATTAATTCATCAAGCCCAGAACAGAGAGAAATTTGCCATATTGATCGCCAACCTCAACAGAGAAGGCACTTAGGAGGAAAATATAAATCAACGTTGGTTTGTCTTTAAAATACACAACATTGTATATCACTGTTTAAGAAAGGAGTCCGTAACAATTTCGGAGACAATAGAGGGATTCAATTAAGTTGATAGAGTTTAATCTATGAAATATGCGAGTATATCTACATTAAGCACTAGTGGTGATAATATACATCCCAGCCTAGCCCCTCTTTTAATTCTATCTATTTTGTTTCACTGTCTTCTGCCCTTATTGTCATTGATCCCAGTCGTTAGAGACGAAAATGCCACTAAAGCTCTAAAAATTATACGAACAATCTGAATTTTCCCGGGAATATTAATTTTGGACACCAAAAAGATGCAAAAATGTTTACCACTTTTAACCCCATACTTCCTTCTAAAACGCCCTCGTAAGTGTGTAAAAATACAAAAAAAATCGATTTATCAAGAATCTGTACGCCGTAGAAAAAATAAGTTTTGAATAAAAAATGTAGTTGACATAATTTTATTTTCAACATTTTAAAACAGCCGTTTTATTTTATAATTTACTAAAATTAAATTATTGCTTACTTCTTTGTGTCGTTATGGTTGGTAAAACTTTGCCGGTCTTCGGTTGATAATTTTTTTTATTACTTTCTAGTAATTGATTTTCAATACTGTCAACTGCTTCTTTACGACCCACAATTCTAGCAGCTTTAGACAATGATGTCGACAATAGACAATAGACAAGAATGTCAGTTACGCGCACAAAATCAATGTTCAATAAAATTTGTATCACTTCCATGGTAAAAATTCGATATCTTTTGATTCAAATGTCCTATTAACAAAAATCAAGATGTGTTTTAAAAGTAAAGAGTTGAGCTTTTGTATGCAATTTTTGTATTTTGTCGCAAGTAAACTCAGATTTTATAAAGGGGTTAAGTAAATTAACGTCGCGCGATTTTTCCATTTTTTATGATTCTCATGAGATCAATATAATCTTTCATTGATTGGCCACTATTAAGTTTTGATTACTAGAGCCCAACGTTCAAAACCTATAGCATAAAATTTAAACACATTTTGATTTTTGTCGATAGGATAGTTGGATCAAAAGATATCGAATTTTTACCGCCGAGCTAATACACATTTTATTGAACATTGATTTCGCACGCGTAACTGACATTTAAAATCGACGGTCCCTTCAATCGTTGTTTCTGAGAGAACGCTTTATTCTACACAAAAAGTACTAATAAACATTTTTATTTAAAATTATCTCAGCTACATTTTTTATTTGAAACATTTTTTTCTATGGCGTACAGATTCTTGGTAAATCGATTTTTTTGCTTTTTTACATCCCTACGAGTGGGGTTTTAGGTGGAAGTCCGGGGGTAAAATTAGTAAACTTTCTTGCATCTTTTTTGGGTCCCAAAATAGTACAGAGTTATAATTGAGTAGGAGAGCCTATGTGACCCTACCTAAATACCACATAATATATTGCACTGTACTACGCCTTTTTTTAATATGGATAAAATAGTAAAATCACAAAGAGAGATGGAAAGATCAATACTCGGGGTAAGACTTATAGACAACAAAACAAACAAATGGATTAGAAGCAAAACCAAAGTAAAAGACGCAGGAGAACATGATGTCAAATTAAAATGGAGCTTCGTAGGACACAATGGCCGACTAAGGGGTAAAAGATATAACAGAGACGTAATACAACAATGAAGACCATGGGTAGGAAAGAGAAGTTGAGGAACACCACAAATGATATGGGCTGATGACATTAAGAGGAAACAACTGGAAGCAAGTGGCGCAAAATAGAAAACACTGCATTGATTTGGGGGAGGCCCATGGCCAAAGTTGGATTATTGAAGGCTAAAGAAGAAGAAGGAGAAGTACTACCCTTTATGTATCTCAAAATCTGCCTGATAATCGTTCATAAATTTGCTTGAATATTAACCTAATATTTGCATAAGGAGTTTTCTAAAATATTGTAAAATATATCAGGTAACGGAATTAATATAGTTCACAACATTGCTTTCCAGTTCGTAATATTGGCATTTTGCAGAATTATAATTATAATTTATTATACCATTTTTCAAGGCATTAGTTTTTTTGATATTTTCAGTCAGTATTCCAATTTTGGATCGGTCTTTTTGGACTAGATTTTTATTGTTGATCTTGTTGGTGTATCTTTACAAATAAATAAATTCCTAGTCATGAAAATAAAAAACAAATTGGTCACTTTATTTTTATAAATAAAAGACAATTTTTTTAAACTCAACACCAAAAATATACTTGCAAATCAAAAATAATGTTTACGCTACAATTACGTTAAATATGTCGATTATCAATAAAAATAATTATATATTTTTTTAGGTGTCAGAGAATGGTCAGATCATCGTCAGCACCACTTCACCGAACAACGCAATTCACCGCCTTACCAATCTCCATCGCCATATTCAGGTGACCGTACACGCCGGTCACCTAGTCCCGACTACCGTCCTTCCCATTCGCCTGTACCAGATTATAGAAAGCAACATTCCCCCCATTCTCCAACTCCAGATTATATACGAAATCAACATTCGCCTGTTCCAGACTATTCCCGAAATGCACGAATGTCGCCCAAAAGGGAAGTCGTCACCATAACTCCTACCCCGCCTAGGAGAACGAAGAATGAGAGACAGCGTCAACGAGTGGTTGATGATCGGAGCAGGTGTGTATTCATTTGAAAAACTTTTTAAACTACAGAAATACCCGCTTACACAATGTACACGTACCATCAAAGTAGAGGTAGTACTAAATTTAGGTATGTATTATTATAAAATACAACACAAAAATATTTCTTATAAATACAAAAACGAAATAATTGGATATACAATATAAAACCATCTATGTTTGAGATCATTCAGATTCTTTTGTATATTCAATTTTCTGCCTTTTGTCTAGAAGGTATCTAATGTCATTTGCGTATTTCTTTTAGACTCTGCAAGATATTGTCGATAAGTGGGCAAAGTATACATGACATGATCTTTGTCATACTCATAATTTAGTTATAGTGACCATACTTCAACAAATGCTGTTGAAATTTAATTGACTCTTCTTCAGAATCGCTACTTTCATTATTTTTGTGTTATTTCTGGTACCATAACTCCTTGACTTCGTAATTAAAAAGTGTTTTTGTTTTTTTGATATATTTCTTCGTGATATGACACATTTATCGTATCTTAACTTGTATGTTTAGCTAATTTTACTATTTAACCCTTTCGTTCGTATCGATAACAGGCACTATAGTATTTTGCTTACTTTACTTTTTCGGAAAAAGTTTACTTTACTTCCAAAAAGTTTCTTTATTCAGTAACAAGCGACGTCATAGCAATTTTGCTGGTATGCAGCAATTTTTAGAAGGTGCGTGTACTAGGGCATAGTCTGCACTTCAGTAGGTATTCCATGTTCTGAACTTCAGCGCGTTGGCATAGTGAGTATTATGTCTCAATCCTACCCCACCTGATGTATCTGTCTTGGCAGGTGCGACTCTTGTTTTTATTCTGTTTTTACAAACGTTCTTGATCTACAGGCAAGCCGTATGCCGCCATGGCTATCTCGGCATAACGGATGGCCGTCAGATGGCTCAAGTGCGATTGTATTTGGGAAGTCTTTTCTTGATCTTAGGCTAGACTCTTCGTGTAGTGGTATTCCATATAGCGGGTCTCTATCGTCAGACTCTTGTAAATATTCAAATGTGTTCTGCGCCCTTTTGTCGTGTTAGTGGCAGGGAGCAGACCAAGGCTCTATAGAGGCCAGGAAAAGGTATAGATTTCATGCATCCGGTAACTTTTCGGCATGTTTCGTTTAAGATTACATCTACCTACCTTGCATCTACAGATCTGGTCCACACCGAGCATGCATAATCTTCTACCGAGTAGCGCAGGGCTTGTGCTATTGTTTTGAGAACGGTAGAGTTTGTCGTCCATCGATCTCCTGTCAGTCTTCTAAGGAGGTAGTTCGTGAACTCTACATTTTCCAATGTTGTTTATTTGTATTGTCATAGAATTCAGGCATGGTGAACAGCGCTTCTTTAAGCTCAGCCTCTACTCCACAAAAGGTATTATCTTAAATACCTGGTCATCTGCATTTAGGAAGTGTTTTGGCTACGCAGGGACAGACTGTATAAATATTGTACAAGTACACTCCCTTGGGAATAGCCGTTTTTTGTTTCTCCATCTTCTCTTATTGTCATTTAAGGTGAGAAAGAACCGCCTGTTGTGCAGTACAGATATGATTATCTTTGTTACATTTATGTCTTAAGCATGTTTGAAAATCTTTGATAAGATTACCTTGTAATTTATATTGTCGTTAACCGCCGACAAATCAACCGATGCCACTTTTGTTCTCAGCCATTTTCTATGTACTCAGTGGTCTCAGTGAGTACAAGAGCCTGTACAGTGCATGATTTTCCGGGTCTAAATCCGGTTTAAATCTGCTGCGGAGTTAGATTCTGTTTAATAGTCGGTTCGGCGCGTTGTATCATTATTTTTTCAAACAGCTTAAAAAAGTTGCATAGTAGTAACACCGGTCTGTAACTACTTAGTTCTGCCCAGATTTTAACAAGGCGATCACTTGGAATTTCCGCCAGAATTTTGGTGTCTTTGGTTCTCACACATATTTCAATTTAAGATTTAATTTGAAGATTGGCCTTCCTTCAACCCGGAATTTTCGTATGGATCTTAGATAATTTCTTCTCCAACATATTATCTTCTCCCGGTCAATCAAAAGTGATTTTTGGTCTGATTTGTCCCACCGGAAATTTAATTCTTTTAAAACTTGCCACAATTTAGTTCGTCCGATATGAGGCAAATCCGAGTCGTCTCTAACTTCTTGTAAAATTTTGTTTAGGTTTGGTATCTCTTTTAAAAAAATCCATGAATTTTCCTTCGAATACCATTTTTGCAAATTCATCAACTTCGATAGGTTTTTTCCCTCTCTTTAAGTGTTCGTTTGTATTTGGGTTAGCTATACCGTGTTTTTTTCTTTCTGATAGGAACGTATATATAGTTGACCCTCCTACGCCAGTCATGTTGGTACAACTTTCGACTATGTTGCGAACAGTGCTTGTGGGATTCTAAGAAACCACAGCATCGTAAACATTCAGGACAATAGTCTTCTCTCTTGGTGAATAGACATACTTACTGACTGTACGCAACAGTACCGGTGTAAAACTTAATGATGTTGATGATGAAACCATCACAAACAATCCAACAAGGTAGGTATCGTAGGTATATGGAATAAAAAATCACTCACGCACTGCACATAATTCGCAAAAGAAATATTCGAGATGCTAATTACTGCCGTAAACGCGGAAACACCGACGATCCGTAAATTACATGCGATCAAAAACGTACTAAACAAAAATATTGTTTTCGTTCGTAATAACTTCACCCTTTTAAGTTAAGTTTCGAATATAAACTGAACAGACGAGCACGTGGCCAAAGCCGGCATCTTTATACCCATTATATTATTAAAAATCTGGGGAATTCCATCCTAATTATCTATCTTGCAACGAATAATACCTTCGGCTATGAATTCTAGATTTTCTAGCAAAGTTCCGCGATGATTAGTATTGAAATATCCAAAGAGATAAGGTATTCTTATTTATAAAATTGTTAATGGTTAAATTCTTATTTTTATTAATATAATTTAATAACCAACATTAGCCGTGAAAGTTTTAATTGTTTTTTGCTATATATATATATATATATATATATATATATATATATATATATATATATATATATATATATATATATATATATATATATATATATAAATTTTCAATATTGGGTTTGCAGCAATAAAAATGATACGTGTACTCTTTTAAATTTTTATTCCGAGCTTTCGGACATGGTTATGTCCTTCATCAGGGAGCTGATGAAGAATATTAATATCTTTATGATATTAATAAATATAAAATAATTTATATAGCCACAATACATCTAATGATAGGCCTATAATTTGGTACTAGTATCTAATAATAAAAACCACTGAATTGTCTTGAGAAAAAACTAATGACGATATAATAAAATTAAGAATAAAAATGTCAGAAATGTGTGTATAATAAGTAAGTGTTTGTGATTGTAAAGCAATTTTTAAAAATTTTAAATATAGGAATAAGTTTTATGTAAAAATATGACAGACTGTGATAAGTTTTATCGACATGGTAGAAAATCATTGATGATCCAACCTCATTAAGTTTGTAAGTAGCGAATCTTTAATTAATTATACAAACTTGTAACAAACTATTCATCACATTTGTAGCTCCCTGATGAAGGACATAACCATGTCCGAAAGCTCGGAATAAAAATTTAAAAGAGTACACGTATCATTTTTATTGCTGCAAACCCAATATTGAAAATTTACTTCCTTGTTGTCAGCAAATACTTCTAGTTCATTATATATATATATATATATATATATATATATATATATATATATATATATATATATATATATATATATACTCAAATTTGGGAATGCCAAAAGTCCTTTTTTAAAAAAAGAATTTATTAAGAGCTAAACGACTAATTACAAGAAAATCAGATTCTAAACTGAATAAAATATTAATTAAAATAACACATATACAATTGCAATTATACAATTCACAATATTATGCAAATATAGCGTCAGCACTCTAGAGTTCAATGCTTTAACCATGTCAGCAGTCTTAAGTCCATGGCACGAATAAATCCATAGGCGTCGCTATAACTCCTCTTCCCCTAAATTGAGGCTCCTTCTGGGAGGTGAATTTTTGAATTGGAATCGTCTGGGTCCTGTATGTTTGACATTCTTATGTCTTCTTTTCTTTTGGTTTCTTTTCTCTTTCTTACCGTTATTTTCTTATAGGTAATGTAGATGATTATTAGAATGATTGCAAGATATAATATAATGGTCCATATGCTGGGAATGTGGTAATTTTCTCTTTCTTCCATGATGGGTGTGATTCTGTTTGTGGGATTTTTTTCAAATTTTAAATTCTTCAAAGTTATTTTCATAGGTGAAATGCTTAATTCTTTGAATTTTAATTTTGGCTCGGTGATTAAAATTGGTTGTCCAAAGGTTCGATCTTGGAACAACAATTCTTGGTTTCTGAAAAGGATTGTACACTGTGTATTTTCGATCAGAAAGATGCCTGTCAGTGTTTGAATTTGAGTTCCTTCAGAGCATTTAAAAGTTAATTTTTCCTCCATAGGAAATATTGCTAAAAACTGGTTCATCTCTGGTATGATTTCGATGTGATTGCCTTGGATGTCTGCCTTAATATATTGACAATTACTGGAGTTTTCTCGTAAGATTATTTCCTTTTCGCATAGGTGTTCTTGGTTATTTTGTAGACGGCTTGGACATTGGAAAATTTTACCGTGGGTGCAGATGTCGTTGAGAGGTATTATAGTATTTTTATTTTTTAACAAATATCTTGTATTCGGTATTATTATTGCAAATTCTGACTCAATTTGTGTGGGTATAGGTAATAAATAATAAAGATCAAAAATGTTCTCAAAATCGATAGGAATTGTCAGAAAATATTGAATTTGGTTTTCCTCTATTTTACAGGTGATTTCCAGAATGGATTCAAAATCTAAAATATTTTCGTGTTTTAATTCAAATGGTAATTGTGTTTTGTAAAATAAAGAGATTCTTTGTAATTCTCGAAATAGGTCACTAGATTTAATAATACTAGGGTGTAAGGTTTTGAGCTTACAAAAAGTAATAGAATTTTCTACAGTCTCCATTACATCAAGTATAGAATTATATGTGATAATGAGTTCATTGAACATGTCTTTTAGATAAATAACGTTCTCAATTTTGGTTTGAAAATCGACAATATCTTTTATTTCAAAAATCTTTGTTTTAAGAATTATTTCATTTGTTTGAATATCTTGAATGGTTTTTGACTGAGGGAATATTGATTAAGTATCTGATGTTCTAATTTTTGTTGATTAGTTTTCAAATGTTATAGTATTAAATTTATTTTCTCGCCATCTTCGGCGTCTAAATTTCCTGTGATTGCTTTTACTATTGAACCAAAGCCATTAATCAAGCCTCTTTTCCTTCTTGTTAAATTAATATGAATATTTAGACCGCTAAATTTTTCTTGTATGCTATTTTTGATATATTGAATAATATTAACATAATGTACGTCTCTGATTTAAAGAATTCGCTGTTAGAAATGTTATTTTTAAGATACTCAAATTGCTTGTTCAGGTTGTCATATTCAGTTACAAGTGGTTTTAAATTATAAAAATGTACAAATGTATGACTAGATTTTTGGAGTTTTGCGGTTCCTAATTTTATAGGTAGAATGCCTAGGTTGTGGGTGATATCCTTTAATTCGGCTGTTGTATGTCCGATCGTGACGAACCTGGAAAAATATAAGTTTTCCTTTTAGGTCGTTTTACATTTGAAAGGTGAATGTTTTCGGTAGTATTTTTATGTCGCTTAATAAGTTTTGCTGTTTTCTTAAATCTATTAATGGATTTAATATTTTCTTTTTGATATTTATTTTTAGTTTTTCCTTTTATTTGTCTGTTTCGCACAAATACTTCGGTAGGAATTTCTGTTGGTAATTCCTCGCGTGTTTTATTTGCTTTATTTATAACTTTTGTTTTATTTTCTTGAAGTTTTTCGTTAATATTAGAATATAGTAATTTCATTTTATCCTTATGATTAAAAATATAATTATTAATTAATTGTTGCTCTAGGTCAATGTTAAATGGGGAGTTGGTGTCTAAATGTCCCGTAACTAGTTCATGGGGTTTCATTTTAGTTACGGCGTGGATAGTACTGTTGTAAGCTAATAATGCATAGTTTACTTTTTGTTCTATTGGGTCGGATTTATACTCATTTTGGTTGTTTAGTAACCTGATATGTTCAATAATAGTTGAATGAAATCTTTCAGCTATACCATTTGATTCTGGATGCTGGGAGGAGATAGAGTGGATTTTTACCTTATGTAATGCTAATAAATCTTTAATGACTGAATTTTTTAGTTCGGTACCATTGTCTGAAATGATTTGTTCTGGGATACTATGGTGAGTAAAGAATCTAATCAAAGCGTTTGCTACTTCGATACCTTGAGCAGAATTAAGTTTATAAAGTTGGGCATATTTAGAAAAGGAATCGACTATCGTTAGAAATTTGGTATTTTCAAGTGTTATGGAATCTAAATGTAAAATCTGAAATGGCTTAATTGCTGTAGGAGTAATGCTAAATATTGGCTTTATTGGATTCCTATCATATTTTGTTAATTGGCATATTTCGCATTCATTAATATAAGTTTGTATAGAAGCTCGTTGATTGGGCCAATAATATAATGATTTAATTCGGTTATCTGTTTCATCTAAACCTCTATGATTTTCCTTGCCTTCATGATAATTTCTAATTATTTCTTTAATTTCGTTTATAGGAACATCGATAAGTTTCTTAGTGCAATTAATAAATGATATTTGAGAATTTTTAAAATATTTTTGGACAACAACGCTAAATTTCTCGTATAGTGGGTCTTCAAAATAAAGGTGATATTTTACTTTGGGTATGGTATATTCTTTAATAAAATCAATAACATCACGCTCAAAATTGTTTTTTGAGAACTGGACAAGAATTCTTTGTCTTTTATCAAATAATTTGATTATGGTGGGACTAGCAGGATTAAAATTCACTTCAGAGATAAAAATTTGGTTAATTCCCGTGTTTACAGGGTTTTCGGAAATAGGAATTCCGGGGGTAGGATTTTCTACATTGGTGTGTATCGTCTCACCGTCATCAGGGTTTTCTTCTTGTCTATTATCTTCATCAATTTCAACAATCAGCGATTCTGTATCTGGTTCGTTATTAAGATCTTGTTGAGCTTGTTCATTAAGTGTTTCCATATATTCAAAAATATTTTTTGTGTTTTCCAAATTTTTTGTTTCATTGACGTTTAGTTCTATTCTGGATAATGTATCACAATTTGTATATTAAGATCCTTTTTTATAAATTATTTCATAATCATATTCTTCTAGCTTCAACCGCCATCTTACTAGTTTGGAGTTGGGATCTTTCAATGAAAATAACCACTGTAGTGGTTTATGATCAGTAATAATAGGAAAGCGTCGTCCAAATAAATACGGGCGAAAATATTTGACAGCCCATACTATTGCCAGTTATTCTTTCTCAATTGTTGAGTAATTGATTTCTGAGTTGTTCAAAGTTCTGCTTGCATAAGCAATTGGCAAGTCGGATTCAATCTTTCCTTGACTAAGTACGGCTCCTAGCGCAAAATTACTAGCATCTGTAGTGAGATTGAAAGGACGGGAGAAGTCAGGATACTGTAATATGGGTTCATTTATGAGAAGTCCTACTGAGCCCAAATCCTACTGACTGCGCCACTCAAATTTGGGAATGCCAAAAGTCCTTTTTTAAAATATAGGATAAATATAGGAATAAGTTTTATGTAAAAATATGACAGACTGTGATAAGTTTTATCGACATGGTAGAAAATCATTGATGATCCAACCTCATTAAGTTTGTAAGTAGCGAATCTTTAATTAATTATACAAACTTGTAACAAACTATTCATCACATTTGTAGCTCCCTGATGAAGGACATAACCATGTCCGAAAGCTCGGAATAAAAATTTAAAAGAGTACACGTATCATTTTTATTGCTGCAAACCCATATCTGAAATAAATCCATAGGCGTCGCTCTATAACTTATATATATATATATATATATATATATATATATATATATATATATATATTATTAAAACATTATTAATATTAATAATGAATAAATACCTCAGAAACACCTATAATGATACAAATTTTACGACCGTTTTATGACTTTGAGGCACATTTCGTGCTTTCAACAATTTGTGAACCAAATATAAGTAGAATGAAGTTGCTATAAAAAAAATCTGTAATTTCTGGTATACCATTTAGCGCCAATTTTTCATCTTACTCAAGGGATGTATTATTAGAAAGAACAGTAAGAGTAGTCGCAATTTAGATTAAGGAACTAATTCAAAGAAGAATTCCTGTAAGCGGTTATTTAATCCAGGAAAAAGCTCTTCAGTTTTATGAGTTAATGAAACAGAGCCACCAACTTCCACTTCCCAAGCTGGAAAAAAAATTTCAGCTAGCAAAGGATGGCTATTCGGGTTTATAAACAGAAATGCTTTCATATTATTAAGATCACAGGAAAGATTGCCACAGCAAATAAAGCAGCAGCAAAAATATTTTCACAAGATCTAGCGAAAATTATTGAAGATGGTGACTATTATGCCGATCAAGTATTTAACGATGATGAAACGGGACTGTATTGGAAAAAATTACCTAACCGTACTTACATCGCAAAGGATGAACAAACTGCAAGTGGACATAAAGCAAGTTAAGATCGAAGAACATTATTACATACTTTGTAGCAATACATCAGGAGGATGGTGAAACCGCTCTAAATAAATGAATCTGGTAGACCGCGTTCTTTAAAAGGCAAATATTTACGTTACAAGTAAAACAAGAAAAAACAGTTGATTTTAGAAAATTTATAGAGAAACATGATAAAGATGATTTAAACTGGGAGAGTATTGAAGAATTAAGCTATTTTAAACACGTTTTAGAACACCACAACTTAGGAAAACATCCACCTACAGACAAAGTTCATAAATAATTAGTTTACTTTCAACAATACTAGAGGTTTTCCTGTTTTCCTGTTTATCGACACGATATAAATAAATATAATTAGTTCTTTCAGATGTTCGAAGTAATTTATCATGCAGCCTATTTCTTTTAAGTTCTGGAAACTTTTTTGTTTTTGTCTTGGTTTTATGTAATTTTAAAAGGCTACGGGACGTATCCCTACTTTTTAAAGGCAAATAATGTCTTTTAATGCATTTTTTATATGCACTTTTCTGTGAAACGTATCCACAGCATAAAACGAGACCTTACTGTATTTGTATTTGATTAAATCAAATAAAATTGGGAAACAACTCTCAAAAAGTAAAGTAATGAAGGAAAAACTAAAATCTTTGAAATAAAAAAACGCATTGATAATTTATGGATTTTTTTAACTATATGTTATTTTCTTTTCAGGTACGATAACGAATACCGAAATACGAGACGAGAAGAGGAACGAATCCAGAGACTTGCACATGTCGAAGAACCCCCTCCAGACTACTCACCTCCTAGTCCTCCGCAAATGCCTAACGGAAAAAGACATTCGCAAAAAACTAGGTTTGCCGTTGAATCACCACCGAAACCTCCAAAGTCTGGAAATATTATAGGTAAGTTTTAAAAGTGTATTAATTGGCAACACGTATATAATATAAAAGACCTTCTTTATCCTCAATTAAAAAATGTAAGAATATCATATTTTACTTAAATGTTCGTTTATATTTTGATGGACTTTCGTTTGATTGTGACATTAATGTGTTTGGGCACAAGATATGCTTTGTTCGGCTTGAATGTGCTGGCCTAGAGATGCATAGCTATGAGTTAGGACATTTTCTTATGGTTTGTGGATTTTGAAAAAGCATTTGATAAGGTTCAACATAAAAATCTTGTAAATATATTAAAAAGCAAAAATATTGACAGTTTATCTAATCTAAATTGGAATTAAACTGCCAAGGTAAGAGTTGACAAACAGAACGCCCTAGATATCAAAATACAGAGAGGAGTCGTATTAAGGTATATCTATCAATGGAGCAATTTTAAGTAACTTGAGTTTTGATACGTATTGAGATAGCACGTGCATCATTCGTTAAAGTTAAAAATATTTCTTTCTTGTCGGAATAAGGTTAGGACTACGCCTAAGAATGCTTCCGTGTTACGTATTCACTAGTCTTCTTTATGGCTTAGAAGCATGGATATTAAAACAATTACATTTGAATAAGTTGGCCACCTTTGAATTTTGGTGTTATAGAAGAATCCTGCGAATATCATGGACTTAAAGAATGTGAAACGCAGAAGTTACTACAAGAATAGAAAATAAAGCTGAAATAATATTGACTATCAAGAGAAGAAAACTTGAGTACTTAGGCCCTGATACTCATTTTTGAATGTGGGAAGAGGAATAATATCGTGGCCTAAGAACTTGAGGAAATGGTCTGAATGCAGTAGTGCAGAACTATTTAAAGTGGAAGTCAACAGGGTTTGCATAGCCATGATGATTTCCAACCTTAGATAGAAGATGGAGCTTTTAGAAGAAGAATTAATGTGTTTACCATCGGACTTATGCTTGTCTACTATAGCTTCTGTAATTCTAAGCAGTATATGCGCCTCCATGTTACGGTTTCACAAACAGCTCCAAATATTTTGAGTAATATTTTTCTTTTCAAAAGATGGATACAAAGTATTTGTCCAATGTTGTTAGAGTCTATGCTTCTGGTCCAAGGATCATTATTTGCCTTCCCATTATTTTTTACGATACATATTTGATAAATAAATAATATTAATGAAATAATAAGGTTTATTTAACAATATGTGTCGTTAATAAGAACAATTTATACAAACAAGCTTAACGAACAAAAGACAATTTGTAACAATAAAACACTGAAAACTTTGTTTTCAAACTTCCACAAAATTTATTTTAAATATTATCACTACAGCTGTTTCGGCTGATTGCCTTTCTCAAGTGATCTATTTTGGCTTGGGTTTACAAATTTATAGTCTCTAATGAAATAGGTTGAGGAGGGGAGAACTGTTTGTCTCAAGTTGGTCATTCAGAATTATATCTGTGTTTTTTAATTTGTTGATTTCCATAGATTCTAACAAAGATAGCTTAAGGCCTTTATTTTGAATGTGAAGAATTTTAAATTTGTCATTAAAAGAATGATTATGATCTAGATGGTGAAGTGCGTATGTCGAATCTGTTTTTCTATTCTTGAAAGCCCTTTTATGTTCCGCTATTCGTTTGTCAAAGTTTCTACCAGTTTGACCGATGTAAGTTTTTGGGCAGTCGCCACATTGAAGTTTGTACACACCACTATTTAAGTGTTTTTTATTTTGGCTCTTGTTATTTTTAATATATTTGCCTAGGTTGTTATTTGTTCGGAAAGCTGGTGTTATTCCTTTCTTTTTTATGTGTTTGGCAATTTTTGTTGTTATTTTGCCTGTATATGTAATCGAGCAGAAGGCACTGGGTTTTTTCTCTGGTGGTGGAAATACTAATTTCAGGGCTTTCTTGTGTAGTTTTTGATTTAACATTTTATTAATTGTTTGTTCGTTGTATCCGTTGTTTACTGCTATTTGCTTAATTATATTTAATTCTGTCTCAAAGTTGTATTTTGACATCGGAATTTCTGTTAATCTATGTAACATACTATGATAAGCTGCCAGTTTATGTTGTGTTGGATGGGATGACGAATTGTGTATAGTTGTGTCAGTATGGGTAGGTTTATGGAATATGGAGAAGTCATGTTTGTTTTGAAGTCTGCTAATTTTTAAATCTAAAAAATTTATGGATTGATTTTGTTCTGTTTCTATTGTAAATTCAATATGACTATAAAGTGAATTAATATACGATAAAAATTGGTCGAGTTGCCTGTTGGTTCCTGTGAAACATACCAGTACGTCGTCTACGTATCTCCACCAATATAAAAACTGTTTGAATCGGGATGTTTTGAAATCTTTGTCTCTAGATGATCCATAAAAATATCTGATAGCAATGGGCTTAGAGGATTACCCATTATAAGTCCTGCACTGTTATTTGTATATATTTTATTATTAAATTCAAAGTAGTCCTGGTTTATGCAAACTTCAAGAAGATGTAAAATTTCAGATGTAATTATTGGATTTGTATTTTTTTGGTCTAAAAGGTTTTTTACTAGAATAAAAGTTTCTGTAGGAGGGATACTAGGAAAAAGATTTTTTACGTCAAATGAAATTAATCTGGAGTTGTTAGGTAATTGAAAATGTTGTATTTTATTAACTAGTTCTATTGTATTTTTTATGGTAAATTTAGGTGAAAATTTAGTGTGTTCTAAAATATTCTCTAACAGTTTTTTTGAAATTTTATATGACGGAGCTGTATAAAAAGAAACTACAGGTCTTATTGTGTGATCTGGTTTGTGTAGTTTAATGAAAGAGTATAATTTAGGAAGCTGTGGGTTCATGATATTAAGATATTTCTGTTCTATTGGATTTAGTATTGATTTTGAATTTTCTAACGCTAGCTTAATTTGTTTTTGATATTTTTCTGTCGGATCTTTGTGTAAAGTTTCAATATTTTGATTATTTAAGAATTCTATTGTTTTGTTATTATATTCTATTTTATCTATAGCAATAGTAGTGTTATCTTTGTCTGCTTTTGTAAACACAATGTTGTTTTCTATTGATTTATTTTTAATTGAAATTGCTGTTTTATTCTCTTTGTAACAGGAATTCTTAGTTTGTAACTAACAGGCCACTCGACCAATTTTTATCGTATATTAATTCACTTCATAGTCATATTGAATTTAAAATAGAAACAGAACAAAATCAATCCATAAATTTTTTAGATTTAAAAATTAGCAGACTTCTATCAGCAAATTAAGCATTAAATTAAGCAAATAGCAGTAAACAACGGATACAACGAACAAACAATTAATAAAATGTTAAATCAAAAACTACACAAGAAAGCCCTGAAATTAGTATTTCCATCACCAGTACCAGTACCAGTAGAGAAAAAAACCAGTACCTTCTGCTCGATTACATATACAGGCAAAATAACAACAAAAATTGCCAAACACATAAAAAAGAAAGGAATAACACCAGCTTTCCGAACAAATAACAACCTAGGCAAATATATTAAAAATAACAAGAGACAAAATAAAAAAACACTTAAATAGTGGTGTGTACAAACTTCAAGGTGGCGACTGCCCAAAAACTTACATTTACAAAAGCTGCAAAAAAAATCTACCACAAAGCAACAATAAAACTCAAATGGGAAAATACAATTAATAAAGAATTTGAAGCAACAAATTGTTTAAAATATTTTTGAGAACAAACATTAGAACAATGGAGATTAGAAGGAACTAAAAAAGAAACAGAGAACATGTGTATAGGAGGGCACAAAGAGACCTTTATACTAGATAATGAAATAGCAATACAAGATTGTAAAAAATATAAACACCTGGGAATGAAACTTACCTATAACCGAAAGTTAGATGAAGTTATAAGAGAAAGAAATATTTAAGGAAGAAAATCGATAGCGCGCTATTGAATGCACTATAGGCAAATAAAACAAAATCAGAATTTATAATATTGCAAACAGCATGTTGATGTCTCACCACAATTCGTAGACAAGTCTAATAGAACTTTTTTCTTTACATTTTGAGTCATATTAAATAAACTGAATAAGGTAGATGTATCTAATATGTACAACCACCGTTGGTATTTTAAAATTTAACGCAGGGATACATAATTTTGATCGAAGAAAATATTGGGGGCGATAAATTAAGAAGTTTTAATAAACGCCTAACAGTGGAAGAAGCTCTAGGCATTTACCTGGGGACGTTTATTATATATATTTTTTTTATTTTTTAAGGTAAATAATACATATTTATATTAAAAACAAACCAATCAAAAAAGTAATAATACTACATACAAGCTTCTATTATTTCTTGTTTCAGCTTTTTAATTGTTTTTATTTTATTTCATAATTAATTTTTTAATAGATTTTATTCTCTAATTACTGAAATTAACGTATTACCTATACCTAATACTGACCTTCTCGAAGATTTATAATATTAAATGTTTTTTTATTGTGGATTTATTTATGATTTAGTGTTTTATAATCAGATATCTCTATTAGATAGGCGTATGTAAGTTAAAAAAGGCTAGGGAACATTCTTAATACATAATAGTAAACCATAATACTGTGTCCGAAGACTCTTTCTTAGAATTATATAAAAAAAGAAAGTTCTAGAATAATAAGAGGTCAGTACCAACCACAACTAGAAGAGTCTCCAGTCAAAATAACAGCCAAAGGGAAAACCATTAGACGTCAGTTGTTTTTACCTACTTGATATTCCAACTTCAAATGGTTGGAATATAGTCCAACAAAAAATGTAGCTTTCTGTTTTTTGTACAGAGGTTTTGGCATGAATGACAGTACTAAACCTGGATTGATAGAGACTGCGTTTATTTCTAGTGGATTTTCATCATGGAATAAAGCTACAGAATGATTTAAAATGCATCAAAATATAAGTTACCCTTGCCAATTTAGCACAAAAACTTCGAATTATAATGTGAATAAGTCCGTAGATCTTCAAATCCAAAATAAAAAAGAGGCTAAACTGAAAGA